CTGTGTACAGGAGTACATCTCTGCTGGCCACAGGGCAAATGAACAGGAGTGCTGCCTTTACACTGAGCTGGCTGTGACCTGTTGTGGAATGTGGTAGGCTGAATTTCAGGGCTGCTGGAATCTTTACAGAAGGTTTCTGAAATTTTGAATGAAAACGTTTCCCAGGGATTGAACTAGTCGTGACCTCAATGCAAGTAACGTCTGAATGACGTATACCTGGAATCTCTTTTTTGTTATTTTAAGTAATATGTGAGGGAAGTGACAAAAATCAGAGAGAGGAGTGCCTTCATTTAAGATGGCTCCAAGAAACTTTAACCCTGTATAGAACAGTGTTCCAAAGGGAAAGAAGCCCACAGATAAAATGGACATGTTTCTGTACCCAGAGTGGAAACACCGGGAGAATGACGTAGGAATGTCCAACTGGGTGGAGTTGCTGTTCGGGTAAGGATGCGCATATGTGTGTTAGGGAAGCCCATTTATGTTGAAGTTGTGTAAAAGTAGCCAAATAACACCTGCATGGGTAGAACTGTGTGATAATGTCTCACCTGGAGGTACAGGTGTTTTTCTGGTCTTTGAAGCGATGCTGCGTTGTTTAGTGTTCTGTTGCTGCTTCTTTTCCTGAGGACAGTTTAAAGCAAGAGCAATACTCTGACAAACCTCTGTAGCAAGTGGCGATTTGTGAGAGACAGTTTTTCAAGAAGAGGCTATTGCAAAGAGAGGATTTGTCTATTTGCACTGATTCTTTGGTTGCCTGGTAAGAGAGAGTGGTGTTCATGCCTCAGTTAAGATAAAATAAAACCAAACAAAACTTACATTCTGTGTGAGACTGACCCTTGAATGAGAAATCCGTCTTTGGTCTTAACATCTGCATGATTGAGGAGTGAAAATCACTTTCACAGCTCTTTTTCATGTATATAGGTAGCCAATAAATTTAAAATTAATGCAGTAACATTTGCAACTGGTAGTTCTTGATTTTTAAACATTTTTCAGTGTGGACTTAGACTCCTTTTCAGCTGATGCAGTATTTAACTAGATTTCATTGGTGCAGAACAGCAATGACAAGACTGTACTGCTGATGGCTCTGAGGAAGAATCTAGAAAGACTCACTAAAAAGTTTGGTGATGCTCATGGGAATTGTTTAACTTCCTGGATACACGTTACATAATGTTCAGCTTCATTTTCTTCACATACAGTATGTTTGTGAATAGCGTGCAGTCAATTCAGAAAATGCTCTCCGTGCTGCTGCAGGAACAAAACAGAGTGCCCTCGACTCTGACTGAAGAGAGCTGCTGAGAACATGCTGCACCGTAATAAGTGCTCAGCTGTTAGCTGGATCAAGACCTGCTGCATGAAGAGGCATGAGGAAGCATAAAACCAAAAGTGATATAGCCTGAAGTAAGGCAGAATCAGAGAAGCAGTAACTGTTATGACTAGAATGATAATTAAGAGCCATATTCCCAGTTGTCAGTAGAACAGCATACTCCTGTACCAGAAGTGCAAGAAGAATTGGACTGAAGAATTTACCACAGACGTCTCAGATTAGATGCGTAAGATTAGACCATTTTCACATTGGCTGACAAGGACTGATCAGCTGTCTGTTCTGATCTACAGCCTTGTCCCCACTGACCATCACTGATCTTCAGCTTGCTTTAAAACATCTGCCCTTGCATTCTGCTCTCATTCATACACTGACAGTCATATTTTCACAAATGCATTGAGAGCACTGCCAGCAAAAGAGCTGGTCTCATCCTCTGCCTATACCTGGGTGCTCACTCCCGCCTCCCTGGCTCTCTTCCTTTTCTCTGGACCGTGTGTATGGGGACCTTTGCTGTGAACGCTGTTAGAAACGCTCTCTAGACTAAAAGTGATGTGGAAGGAGCAGGGAGGAAATCTAAATCATTTGGCTTCAATTCATTCTTACTGGGAACTTTTCTTCTGCTCAGCTTAACCTCTTGAGTTGCCGTCAGTGGGATTTAAGCATGTATTTAAGAACAAAGTTTAAGTTTGGTACTTTGTCTTATAAGAGCATTTCCGTGTAAATTTTATGTATCCCCATCTATGTACTAACTCTATTGTCTGTCCAACTAAATAATTTAAAAATACTGTAACTTGATTATTTCATGTGAGGATCTTTTCCAGAGTGGTCAGGAAGAAAGTTGAATTTGATTTGTATATAATTTGGGGGTTTTAGCATTGTCTGCTGCCCTGTATTTTAGTAGCATTCAAATAGTCTAACCTACATGTAAAGTACTTCATTAAGATATATGAATTTTCCTCCTTCTTCCCCATTGCAGTTATTTAAGCTGGTCTGGCGATAACACAGGTGCCAAATATCAGTGATGGAGTGCTGAATAGCTGCCTCATCAACTAAAAGGCTGGAGAAATTTAAAACTGAAGTTGATCTTGAACCTGTTTTAACTTTGTCAGGCCTCACAGTGAGCTCAAAGAGTTCTTGGTACACGGGGAAAGCCTAGCTATCTGTGTCATTGCATCTGCATTGAGCAACACAACTTGTTTGCTTAGATTAGGATGTGAGATTTCCCAAATTTGCAGCCTGGTTTAAAAGCCACGCCAATGCTTTGGGTTCATCCTCAAAAAAAGAAAGATGAGCTTCTGCTTATCTATTTTTTGAGTACCGTTTTTGACATCGCTATAGACCTCCTGTGCGACCTAAGTCTATGCGACTTTCTTGCCTTGTACAGCTTTTAGGATGAGACAGTGATAGCTGGGCTCAGTCTATCACAGTGATGTGCTAAATGAAGTCGTAGGTGATGAACCACTGGGGGAGAGGCATGCTCTGCCCTTTTTGAATAAAGAAATCTAGAGTTCCCAAACAGAAATCCAGTTATTTTCTATAACAAAATCCTTAATAACATTAGGTCAGTGATTAATAAGTGAACAGGTTAAGAAAAAAACTAACTGCTCTTAAGAAAAGCAGTTATTGGGGAAGTCTGTAGTATGCTGATAATGTTCTGGACAATAAAAGGACTGTCTTAGTCTTTACAGAATAAGCAGTGATGGTCATGGCTCACGCTGAAGTGTTTTCCATTGGGGCGGGGTGAAGTGCTGGCTGGTTTCATAAGTGAACTGAAATATGTAGTCATCAAGTAATAAGTATAATGTGAAGCTGTTGCTTTAGGCTTATTTGGCTTATTCCGTGCCATTCTTAAATGGAGTAAGAGCCTTCGGTGGAGATTTTTGCTGTTGTGTTGAGAATCAGAGAAAGATGGATCAGGTGGTGCTGAAAGGTGAAGCGACGGCAGCACAGAGGAGGGCTTGTTAGAAACTGAGAACAGGGGCTTATTTGTTATATTTCTTACATGGAAGCAATTATCAGAAAGGAGATGTGGGGCAGGGGAGAGGTAAAGCAGTAGCTCTTGTCCTTTCCCCCTGCAGCGTGTGTTTGTTTCACCAGTTCATTACTTAATTTTCTCAGTGCAAAAATAAACAAAAGGCTGATCCGTGGCCAGGGGACAGGAAGAATCTTAACTAGGGACTGCCGTTGTTGCTGCCAAGGCACGTGTGCGTACTCTGTTGCTGCTTATATTTTCTCAGCTATAGAATGTGAGTAATAATGCTTAAATTATGTATCGTTCAGTGTTGTATGAGTTAATTAGATAATGCTACTTAGTCTTTTGAAGATGAAATGCATAATTTAAATGTTGTCTAAAGCTTACAAGGGTCTGTGTGTCAGGTATACAGAAACCCATGGTAACTGCAGGCACGGGAGAGCTGGGAAGCATAAGGCAGAGGCACTTGGGCTGGCTGCATGCAAATTGGCTTCAGTCAAGCATCAGAATAGCACATTCACACAAATTTGCCCCATGCTGACAAGCCCTGCCGACTGGCGCAACAACATGTTACTGCTTCTGGAGTAAAGCTTTTAGCCTTGAATGGTCTGACCTACTGCTTCAGGAATCTTTGCTTTGTTTTCTGTTAGAGATACAGAAAGTTATCACAAGGAACTGAAAGCAAGCTCTGTTGACTTGGTATTTCTGACCTGAGACACTTAGCATTAGTGGGTCAGATGCCAAGGTAGCATGAAGTCTAAAGGAAAACATGGAAGCATGGAAACGTACATACACTGCTCCAGGAGCTGGAGTTTTAGTATCAGTAGTTGTGGGATGAGCTAAATGGGGATAGAGTGAGAACCGTTGCTAACTTGAAGCGTTTTAGTGAAGCTTGGAGGATGGATTAGTCCAAAGCATTAGTGCTAACCCTTTTTTCTCTTCAGTTTACTTTGTTGTTTTCCTTGTTGGATCTTTCTCGCTGTTGTGTACAGTAACTTTTTGCTCTGAAGATCTCTGAGCAGGTGGTGTCTCTTAGCTAGAGTAACTACCCAACTTTTGACCATTATTTACTAACAAAAGGGATTTCGTTTGGTAACTAAGGCATGATTTATTTTTCTTTCAAAGAATTTTTGGCTGCTTGCCATGTGTTTTGCAACTGAGCAACATCATGGTACATTTCGTTTGTCATCCGTGGTAGCAAGCTCTCTTACACTGCTTGAAATAGTTTTGTCAGTTTGAGGCTTAGAGTAACTTAAATGAATAAGTTGCATCTTACTGGAAGGTCAAATGAAAGAAACACACATTTGTAGGTCTCCTTGGTGAAAAAGCACGGAAACACACACTGATTCCAGATCTGCGTTGCTTAATGACGACAACAGCAAAATTAAAAAGTAAAAGTAGGAAAAGTGTTCCTACATCTTTGAGGTCTTACTCTGTAGAAGCTGGCTCTTGTTAAACTATGGTTGAAAGATTTCAAAAACATAGTGACACAATTAGTGGTTATTTTTTTGAAAATGGATCATTACTTCAGTTTGAACGGTTTATGTATTTGTGTCTCCTCCAAATAATGGAACTGTGCATTGAACACTGACTAGTTGCAGTTTTTTGCACACAGATATAAGACTGAAGTTTACTCTTCTTTTTTCTCTCAAGTTAAATCTTTCATTACTTAGAAAAGGTTAACTTATTTTCTCTGAAATTTATCTTGCAGATCTTACAATCTCAAGACATGTATTTCCTTGGACTGTTGTCTTTGCTTTTTTTGCAAAGCAAAGCCTTCAAGACAAATTTGCCTGATGAAACCATTGCTGAGCTTTCTGTGAACATTTACAATCAGCTGCGAGCTGCAAGAGAAGATGAGAATATTCTTTTCTCTCCTCTGAGCATCGCAATAGCCATGGGAATGGTAGAGCTTGGAGCCCACGGAACCACTTTGAAAGAAATTCGGCATT